AACTTCAAAGTGAAGAGGAAGAAAATGATGACCGAGTCATGAAGAATGGATATGTGACCTCAAACTTCAATAGCTTGGTTGTTTGAATTTCAAGTTTAAACTTTGTATCTCTATGACTGTACTACACTAATGGCTTAATGCTGAGAACTAAGATGTTCTGATTTCTCATTGATACTTGACATATTAATAGGCCATTTTCAATCATTTAATTTAATTTTAAGTTTAGGTATATCCTTTTTTCAATTATATTCTTCAATTTTTTTATTTAAAAAAAAAATGCATCTTGATTCAAAAAGGTGTGTGCCTCACCTTGCACATTGCGCCTCAAACACATTTAGGCCCTTGTGCTTTTTTTGCAGCTTGTGCTTTTAAAACACTGTGGTGATTAGAGATTAAGAATATGGATGGAGAAGCTAGTGCTTGTTGTGCAGCAAAGAATGAGTAGAAGCAAGTAGAGTGCTTTTTTTGCAGCTTGAACTTTTATTGTTAAGGTAAACAGCAAAGAGACAAATTGCTTAAAAGAAAAAATAAGAGAGGGAGGAAGAGAAATTTATGGAAACAACCAGAATTCACTAAACCAATCTTTATTTCATCAAGTCAACTCTTCTTTTAACTCCAATTTGGACCAGGAAACTGACCCAAAACAACTTATTAAATTCAGATGTCCCCTTTCAGACTCCAATTTGGACTAGGAAACTGACCCAAAACAACTCCTAACTGCTTCAAAACTATGACAAATTCATAAGTAACCTATTAGGACACTAGGACTCCAACTCCTACACAACTCTAATAACATTTCTTAATCCTACTAAAACTAAATTCATTTAAAGACGTCAGAAATTACTAAAAATAGTAAAGTGTGAGTTTACTAAAAATAGTAATTATGAGAATTACTATAAATAGTAAGTTCGAATGTTACCAAAAATAGTAATTTCGAATCATCAAAAAAAAAAAAACTGATTCTTAAAATACCCACAACTGGAAAATTTGTTTTATCTCCCCATGTGCTCTTTCCTTGCTTCTGCCTCTGCATCATCAGACCTTCGGAGTTCCGACCATTGCCACCGATCATGGTGCCTACACCTCCCAAAGGGAATCCAAGATACTTTATGGGCCATGATTTGATTTCACATTACAATTTATATACATATCCTTTATTCTTGGTGACAAGATCCTTTGACCAAAGACTTCTAGTTCCTACACCATGGTTTTTCCCAACCAAAAATATCCATCTGAACTTGCAATGTTTCAATTCAAAAAGAACAAATTAAGGGCATACATGTTGAAAACTTAGAACCCACTTTTAAATTAGAATCAATATGAGTTGTACATAAATGTATAACAGATGCATACATATGTATAACACTTTTGCCTTTTCCTTTATGTGATTCAACATGGTCTAGAAATTCTAAAAAATGGAATAGATGTGGAGACGTCCAACAATTTTCCTAGGGAAGAAACAGCAAAAATGATGATGCAAATGATCCATTAGCCTAAAAGCCAATAACCCACAGGCCCGATCCCAAGAAGTCTCAACCCTCATGAGCCTATGTTTGTTTTGGCAACAAAACAAACAAGGTATCCACGACGATAATTTTCATTAAGATTTAGAACAATAGAAAAAATTTAAGCAAACACAAAAGAGCATAACCACATGGAGGAAATACCCGGTATGTTAGTACTCTAGGTTTGAGCTCAGGTTTGCTGTTTGTAGTTCACCTCTCTTAGATACAGCTGGTTCGTTAAAGGTAGAATAATAAAATTCACTCTTTGGTCTGCACTTATTATTGGTGTTTTAATTAAAAAGATTAGAAAGGAAAAAGTCTAGATGACTTATAAAAATTAGGGTTCTGCTGCTAAATGGCTTATAAAGACACCTTTATCCTCTAACTTTTTCCTTTTATGAAGATATTGTTACTTGGTTGCTTTATGTACTAAAGTGACTAATGCAACCTCTAATCCAGAATATAAAAGGAAACTAGAAGTCCAAATATGAGGGACAGTCTTAAATTACAACATGTAATAAGGAAGCTACAGTATTAGTATAAACTAATGAAAAGTAAATGTCTACGTAACTAGAGTTTCCATTAATGAAGTTTATGATTACTTGCCCAATCAAGAACATCAAGCATAAAAATAATTAACAGCAGTAGCCCTTATATTTCACAATATAAACATTATTAAGTCCTGCTCCAGAGATTTTCCATCTATAAGGCACACAGGGAATTGATCAAAAAAAAAAGCACACAGGGACTCATGGAAGAGAAACAAAAGTTAATGCTTGGTATACCAGGGTCTGAGGAAACAATTAACTTCTTGATCTTTTATGATGGTAACTATGACAAAAAAAAAGGAAAAATGAAAAACAGAACATATCAAATAACCACCATAGCAGTCAACTATCTACAACCACTAATATTTTTTTGACGTTTCATTTGAAAATGGTAAGTATTACTACCCTTTTCTGATATTAAATAAAAGTTCATTACGAATAAAAGGAATCATACTCCAAATAATTTCATCTTCTTACCAAGACAAAAATTGAGGCCAAACAAAGAAAAATCCGATGCCTATTTGCACCAATCTACCATATGAGGCATGTAAGCTTTGCTTAAATGATATATTTCCAAAGCAGATAAAGCACCATCTAAAGGTGTCCTTAGTTTTCTTCATAAGTCTCTTATTTTATTATTTTCTTTCTTACTTTATTCTGTCATCTGTTAATGTTTTCAAATAGTTATGTTACAATGAGCACACCCTCATCATAATACCAAAAATAAACCACAAATTAGATGGCTAGAAATTGTATATGATCTTCTTGATTTCACCAAGCACGATCATTGCCTTTTCTAGTTCCAGTAGCCAACAACTCACAGTTGGATCCATCTTCTCACACCAGCAGCATGATCAACACTAGTTTGTATCTTGCCTAACCATCTCCTGACCTCATCCCTCCACTCTACTCGTGATGCTTCACACCAACCTTCTGGTCTTAGGCTGATCTCTAGCCATGTCATCATAGAGTAGACAACATCACCTACAGCAATCTCCACTTGGGGTTTATCTTCCACTTGAGAATCTTCATCTTCACCCATTCACATGACTCAATCTCTGAAGGGGTGTCATCTGTTTCTAAATTCCCCACATAAATACCCTATCATTCTAAACACCTCCAAACACCAAAGAAGCAGAGGCAACCTGAATGCTCTGATCCAAACTTCCTCAACACCAGACTCTGTCCCTAAGTGCTCCATGTTCTCTTCATTAGAATTACATCCCATGCATGTGCTCCACTGGACCGAGAACATCTTCTTCCTCTTCAAGAACCATGAGTGACCGCTTAGGATTTCCACAACATTTCCAGGCAAGGGATGGATAAACAGGTAGAGACTTTCCATCCACATTGTTGTTGCCCACTCTTCAATTCCTAGCACCTTCCTGTGAAACCCTCAAATTTACCCACCATACACCTTTGAAGAAACCTTTTTCATTCTCAGATCCCTTCATCATCCAGGTCAAGAAAAAGCACATCATCCACCTTACATATCACCACTCCCCCTTTCATTGGCCAAATGTTCCCTTCCACCATCTCTCTTTGAATGGCAATTTAAATTAGGGGTTTTCTGGAAGAATTATTGCTATAAAAGGAAGTTAAAACCATACTTAGATGGTTTGGATAAAGATTGACAAAAGAGATTGCATATTTTGGTATGTAGAGGATATTTAATAGGATAAACTTACTCCTCCACTTTTTTTCTTTCTTTATAAGTAACCTTACTGGCATATATGAAAGTCAAATAGCAACATATCTGTTCAAGCTGTAACAAGCAATTCACAATCTAAAGTATGTGTTCATTTCCATCAATTTGTATAGTTGCCTCCACTTCTTAATCTCAAGAGATATCAATCTCTTTGGATTGGATTGGTGCAATGCCTAGCTTTTGATGCAATAATACTTTTAGAAAGATTTACGATAGGTTTTCCAGATTTGTTTCTTTGATAACCAAAATTGTATTATGTTCTTTATTTCCAACTCTTTTTTTTTATTTTCTTTTTTTAGATGAATTCTTTATCCCCTTCTCTTTTTTGTAGTAAAGTCTGATTTATCAATAATAATTACTACCTATATCTAAATTATGTTTAACTCCCTAGATATCTGCTTTAACTGATATATCACAATTGAAGCAGTCTTAAAACTGGCACAATATTGCCAACTACATACATTCTTGAATGATGATGGTTGGCATTGATTGACTGTCGTGTTGCTACCAATGTAAAGACAATTGTATTTCAATGTTTAAATAATTTCACTTTTTTTGAGATCTTGACTTAATTGTTTTCTAATCCATTGCCATGATTAGCAGAACTTGACTGCCAATATAAGTTAGTCAAACACTCATGAATTCAATAACTTCACTTTTTAGGAGGAGGGGGGCATTCCTCTTTCTTTACCATAATAAATATTTAAAGGCTACTTTAACCTCTATTTATTAAGAAAAGGCTTCCTTTCTCCACCCCTTTCCTACTCACATTACACTTTTCAATTATCTCAATCTTTAGTTAGCCTACTTCATGGCCTCTCCCTCCCGCTTTAATTACTCTCTTTAGATCCACGGCTTTGCTCTTTGTAAATCCCGACTCCTAACATGTAACTTTTTTCCTCTACCAGATCTCTAGCGAGGAAAAAACCTAATGTTCATCTAATGCCTCCTTGAGCAATTCTATAACTTTTCTTGAACTTCTCAAGCTCTTCCTTCCTATAGAGAATTCCTTTTCTTTGATGTGCAGTATCCCTTTTTTTCATTTTTCCTTTCACTCTACATTTTCTCTTTGTTTTCAAGATAAAAAGACAGAAAGAAAGACGAAAAGGAAAAGAATAAAAACTAAGTCGTCATATGCAGGGCGCAGGGAAGCAATTAACAAAGAAGAACCTATTCATAGGATTCACAGAAAGAAAAAAAAAAAAGAAACTGCTGACATCATATATAAAAAGAGCTCACATGTATTAAAGCCTTGAGTTGAACCTGTAGCTTAGGAATGTTGGCAGACCATTTATTGAAGAGATTCAGTGCACGAAAATCAGAAGGCTTCCGAACTTCGTTAGAATTTCTATAATGACCTGCAAATTTCCATCCAAAACCCAAATAGACAAACAAATATAATAATAAAACCCTGGAATAGAAAATCAATGATAATTTTCATGCTGAATTAAATTGATTTTTTATCTTTCAAACCAATCATGGACCCAAGTGGCTTTCATTTTTTGAGGATCACGCATGTCCCTTTTTGCACAGAAAAAGAAAAAAAAAATACTGAAGGAACCCTATCTGCAGAGAGAAAAATGAAATTGAGGTTCCCGACTATATGTTTCGAACCTCATAGGAACCAAATAAGTTTCACAATCCGAGTATCATTTGCATGAACAAAAAAATGGGAAAAAAACTACAAAAGGAATCCTAACTCCAGAAAGAAATGGAAAAACAAAACTAGAAAATTTGATATATATCACGTCATTTGCACAGAAAACAAAATAAGAACTACTAAAGGAACCCTAATCGCTGAGAAAATATGGAAAATAAAACCATAAAGAGAAAGTGAGAGATGTCGATTTAGGAGTAAGATACCTGATCTTGTGGATTTGACACAGAAACGAAAGTTGAAGAAGACCTGCCTTAAGCTTCAATGATCCGAAGACGACAAGGAAGAAGAACGACAGAGCATGTGGGCTTACTCTAGGAAAATAGTGTAATGAAGAAATTTGAGTCGACAGTAACTGTCAACGGCTGATTGATTGAAGTAGGAGAGGTCGAGGGGTTCTTGCTCGTTGCGGTTTTCGGAAGGAGAGGACGATGAGGATGGTAGGAAGACGGAACAGAAGAGAGAGAGAGAGAGAGAGGTGACACTAGATCGTGGAGAGAGAAATCAGGAAGTTAAATGGAATAAAGTTTGGAGATGGTCGACTGGACGTGAGTCCTTGGACTATGGGCATTATGTTATAATTGGAATTTGGAAACAGGATGAATTATTCCTAAAGCAGGTGAATTTGTTGAACGAAAAGTCGAAAAGAGAGTATTTAGTTTAGTTATAAAAGGGTAGAAATTAGTTGAGTTTAATATGTGGAGGGTCACATTTATTAGAAGATAATATTTTTAATAGAATAAAATTAAAATAGATAAATGCAAATTTGTTGGTAGAATTGATAAATGGACGGAGTTGAAGGATTTGATGAAATTGTTGATGGTTGGTGACTTGGATCGAGTGAAAGAGCTGTCGAAGATTAACAACCTCGATAAATGAAAATTACATTAATGGGCAAATAGAGAAAAAATTAACAACTTCAATAAATGACAATTCTAAATACCTGTCCTAAGTTTTTAACCTAACAAAAACCTCTGCCAATGTTTTAAAAGGTATAAATACCTCCTTTCCCTTGGTTTTTTTATCCGAAAATGCTGATTTAATGTTGTAAAGTTTTTTAAATGCCAGATTTAATATTCTGTTTTTTGTGTGCATACGGTACAAAGACAAAGAGCTACACAGGACGGGGTAGCTTGACCCCAACAATTAGACAAACAAATAAATTCTATATGCCTAGGAATACAATTAAGACTAACATGATGACCATGTTGTGTAGCATAGCATTATGGGCTTGGGTCTATTAATGTTATGTCATAACAAATAACATTTACTTGTGTAACTTCCTTCTTAGGCTAAATGGGCCTCGGCCTACTTTGTTTTTATGTATTCTTACTGCCGCCTACTAATCTGGGGCAGATTTGTCATTGTATCTTTTTCTTATTGCCCTAGTATAAAAGTTGTCTTGGAGAGTTGGAGATAGGGGCCGCCCATTTCTTCTAAACTTTTTTTTTCTTCTATTCTCTTCTTCCTTTACTACAGAACTGAACACAGACAAATACAAACATGGTATCAAAGCATTGATACTATCCTCTTCACTTATTCAAAATCTTATATATTGTTCTTCTATTCTTTTTCATTTTCTTTACTTAAGGTGTTAAAGAAACCCTAGTTCTGCTCGTGGTTCTCTAAACCCAGTTGCTTTCTTAGGTTTTCCCTTGGGAGAAGATCCAAGGGAACCTAGAAGAGGTTCGGTAATGCTCCAATAGGGCAAGACGAGCTATGAGTAGTCTTTGGACTACTAGAGTAACCTGCAGTAAGCAGGTTGAGATTTTGAACTACAGGAAGGTGCAGTCCAAGAAGGTTTTCAGATATCTTTGTGGAAGTCTTTTTATGTTCGGTTAGAGGCTTCCATCAGACTGGGAATGAAGTACAGGTTGTTGCCCTCTACTCCAAGTTTTTAGAAGTTGAACAATGTTTGGTTGTAGACCAGGTGTTTGTTTTGTGTTGCAACCCAAGTTCCTCTATTTTTCGTCCTACTGATTTGTGTTGGAGTATTCTTTAGTCTACAGGCCGGTAGTACTAATTGTTCTCTTCTGTTTTTTGGATGAAATTTCACTTCAGAAACAGTTCTTTATGTCCTCAAACTCTAGTGAGGTAACCTCCAAGGAAAGCCAAGTGAAGGCTTATTCAACATGGAGAACATTAACTTCCCAAATCTTCAGATCACTAATGTGGACCATTTCTACAAAACTTCACGTCACAAGTCGTGGTTTATTAGGGCACATAGATGGACAAGTCAAAGAACCTAAGAAGGAAGAACCTACATATGGAACTTCGACAAAAAAAGATGCACTTGTTATGACATTGTTATTTTCTTGCATGACACCAAAGATTGATAGGACAGTCCAACACTATCTTACAACTCATAAGATTTGGGAGAAATTATCTACCACCTATGGACAAAGGAAAAATAATGCAAGAATTTTTAGACTAACACAAGACATTGCAGCCTTGACTCAAGGAAGTTTATCTGTTGCAACTTACTTTGCTACTCTTGAGGGACTTTGGGAAGAGCTTGATCATCATCTTGTTCTTGATTAGAAGAATCCTGAGGACCAAGAAATGCACCAAAAGCAAACTGAGGAAATGAGAGTGTTCAAATTTCTTGTTGGATTCAACTCTTCTTATAAGAGCATCAATTCTTAGATCTTGGGGACAAATGAACTTCCCTCTTTGCAGCATGTTTACTACTTAAGTAGAAATGAGGAGATCCGGAGAAAAGAAATGAAGGTAAAAGCCCCTCCACAGCTGGGTGAACATTTAGTACTTGTTTTAACCACACAGAAAGGAGGGAAAGGGGGAGATAAAAGAAATATGAAGTGCTCTCATTGTGGGGGAGAGAGACATACCAAAGATACATGTTGGATCAACTTGCATCCTCACCTTAAACTAGCAGCTCTTAGGAAGGAGAAAAAACTAAATAAAGGTCTAGGACCTTATGGACATGTGGCAAGTTCAAATCTGGTGGATGGACTGCAAAAGCTTATCACGTCGAGTGCTTCTTCGTGTGTGGGATAGACCACTATTTCCCCAAGTAACTTCCCTGAATTTACAGCAATAGAGGTAGACATTCTAAATAAGGCTATGGCTCGATTGAAACAATCCACTATTCCTTCCTCATCCTTTGCCAAAACAGGTATGTTTTCTGCCCTTGTGCTATTCAGCCTCATCCGAATGACCCTTGGGTAATTGACTTGGGTGCCTCTGAACATATGACAAACAATTCCTCCTATTTCTCATCTTATCATCTTGGTTCTAGGCAAGATAAAGTAAGAGTTGTTGATGGTTCTCTTTCCCTTATTCATGGAAAAGGGGATATCCAACTTGGAAAGGATCTTCCTCTTAAATCTGTTTTGCATGTTCAAAACTTTACTACAAATTTGCTTTTAATTTCTAAAATCATCGAAGACTTGGATACATTGTGTTTTCCAGGATCGGTTGACGAGGCAAATGATTGGGAGTGGTCATGAGGCTGGTGACCTCTACTACCTCAATGCAAATATTAGTTCAGCTCATCAAGCTTCAACAAGTCACATTGGGGAATGCAAGGAGTCTAGTGCTACCATCTATCTTTGGCATGCTAGATTGAGTCATTTATCTTTTACCTTGTTAAGAGTCTTGTTTCTAGAATTGTTTCAAAATGTGTCAATTGAGAGTCTATTTTGTGAAGTGTGTCAATTGTCTAAACATTGTATAACGAGTTATCCCAGCTCTAGTAATGAAGTTAATGCTCCTTTTGATTTGGTTCATTCCGATGTGTGGGGTCCTTCACCCATTACTTCTATGGATGGTTGTCGTTACTTTATCAGTTTTGTTGACCACTTTACAAGATGTACTTGGATTTATTTGATGAAAGGAAGAGAGGAAGTACCTAGAATCACTATGGTTTTCTATAAAATGATTAAGACTCAGTTTGGGAAAAAGATTAAACAATTTCATTCTAATAATGCAGGAGAATACTTCAAGAATTTTTTAAATGTGTTTTCTGAAGATGAGGGAACATTACATCAATCCTCTTGCAGTTTCACTCCACAAAAAAATGGAGTTACAAAGAGGAGAAATAGACATCTACTAGAAACTGCTCGTGCTCTCTTGTTTCAAAACAAGGTGCCAAAGAAATTCTGGTCTCATGTTGTTCTCACTACATCTTATCTCATGAATAGGATACCATCTAGAGTTTTGGGTATGAAAGTTCCTTTTTCTCTTTTGTGTCCAGATCAATCTGACTTTTCCTTACCCCAAAAGGTCTTTGGCTGTGCATGTTTCATTCATATCAAGGATCCTAAAGGACAAAGCTGGATCTAAAGGCAATCTGGAGGGTGTTTTTAGGCTATTCTCTTACACAAAAGGGATACAAGTGTCTAAATCCAATTATTGGGAGGAAGTTCATTACAAAAGATGTCACCTTTCATGAGTCTTAGTCCTTTTTTGGCCCTCCTCAGAATCCGCTTCAGGGGGAGACTAATGGGGTGGAAGAGACTTCATCGGGGGTTAATCCTTTTGTTGTTGCTCCTACTCCTCTTCCAATTGCTCCTCCTAATCTAATTCCTCCTAAACCTACTGAGTCTAATTGTCTAATTGATGAAGAAGCCACTGCTCCTAACCGTTGTGATGAAGAAGGCAAAGAAGTGATTTCTCCTAACCATTGTTATGTAAGTGTTTATCAAATGAAAAGAAAAAGAGACCTTATAGTTCATGATTGCAACCAATTGGATGCCCTTGAAGCTAGCCAAGGTATGGTTCCTCCCACTACATCCACTAGTCTTGATCTTGATCTTCCCATTGTTTTGCGGAAGTCAGTTCGACCCAACACTCTCCATCCTATAAATAGATTTGTCTCGTATTCTCATTTATCTCCTACCTATCACTCTTTTGTTTGTGCATTGTCTTCTGTTTCTATTCCTAAGTTCTCAGAGGTTGTTGTTGACCCTAAATGGAAGGAAGCTATGGATGAAGAAATGAGAACATTATTAAAAGCAAACATACTTGGGAGTCAGTGGATCTACCTGATGGAAAGAACATTGTGGGCTATAAGTGGGTTTATGCAATTAAACATAGAGCAGATGGCACTATTGAAAGATATGAAGCTAGATTGGTTACAAAAGGGTTCACCCAAAGGGAAGGTATTGATTACAAGGAGACTTTTGCTCCAGTTGCCAAATTAAATACAATCAGAGTGTTACTTTCTTTAGCAACAAACTTTTCTTGGGAATTGCATCAATTGGATGTTAAGAATGACTTCCTAAATGGAGACTTGCAGGAAGAAGTGTATATGGACCCTCCTCTAGGATACAACATGAGAGGAAAGGTGTATAAACTAAAAAGGGCCTTGTATGGGCTTAAACAATCCCCAAGAGCATGGTTTGAGAGATTGTGTGGAGTAATGACGGAAATAAGGTACAAATAGAGTTGTGCAGATTATATATTGTTCTATAAGAGGGATGGCGAAAAGTTGACAACTCTGATTGTCTATGTTGATGATATGGTGGTTATTGGAAATGATGCAAAGGAAATTATGAAAATAAAAGGTTTCTTGGCCTCAAAATTTGAAATCAAAGAT